ATCTGACTAAGAGAAGGAATGCTTACATGGAGAACTTTTCGAAGGAAAAGTGGCTCGTATTCACGTTGTTGGTGGGAAAAATCCTGCAGCCAGCTCGTTTGCCTGGATCAGTTTCTGGGACAAACTATCAGCAGTCTTTAACCACTCAGCCACTAGTGGAACCACTTAAATTAAGAGCGAGGTATGAGATTTATAAAGTATCTTATGTTAATTAACCAGTTACTATGATTTACCTTTATTATAACTTCTCCTTTACATATTCCTCACCAGAATGCAAATTCGTTTGGCATATAATTCAACTGAGGGTTTTGAATCTTTAGTTAAGAGAGCTTCTGGCAGTTGTGTTTTGCTGTTAATATTGTTATGAATTTTGTATATATGTAAATAATTTTAATGAAATTATATGTAAAATTGCAGTATCTTTTGTATAATGCGACATGAAATCCTTGAAAAACGAAGTTCTGCCAGAAAAATAAGGTTACAGTGTGTAAGCCTATTTATCATTGAGGTAAATACACTGCAGGCCACCGTAAATGCAACACCCTGAAGGAAACATGAAAATAACATGAAATTTACAACGTGCATTTGCGGAGTTGAGATATGCAAACGATTACAATTTCAGCGGAGACGCACATCACGCGCACCTGGGGCACCACTTCAAAGCGCTATTTAAGGCTTGGAGTTTTTGACGATTTCAAGTTCGGCAATTGTGTTTTTCTTGAGATTTTTGGAAGGATAGTGGCCTACCAAGAGTGTGGATTATCTTTCAGGGAAATCGGTAGTCATGTTGCCCGAAACCAAGCAACTGTAATGTGGATATGTGACCTTTGGATGCAGAAGCGTACGACGGACCGATGTGTTCGATTGCATCCACCTCAGTGCACCACTTCACGTGATAACAGGAACATTGTGTGCATGGCAGTGACGGATCGCTCAGTCACATCACGAACCATAGCCCAGCACAGTCTGTAACACATCATCCAGTGTCTGCGTGTACCATTTGACGCCGTTTACAGCAGAGTGGTCTGTCCGCAAGATGTCCATTGCTTCGTCTACCCTTGACACAGAACCACAGACGTCTCTGCTGCCAATAGTGCGATGAAAGAAGGATGTGGATGGCAGAATGGAATAAAATTGTCTTTACTTATGAGTTCCACTTCCGTCTGCAGCACCACGATGGTTGGATTTGAGTCTGGAGACACCGTGGAGAGAGGCTGTTGAATAGCTGCATTATGCATCACCACACTGGTCCTGCACCAGGTATTATGGTATGGTATGGGGCGGTATTGGATATCGCTTTCGCATTCCTCTAGTATGCATTGCCGGTACTTTACTACATCTCCCAGGTGTTGGAGCCAGTTGTCCTTCCTTACCTTCAGAGCTTGCCCACAGCCATATTTCAACAGGATAATGCGGGAACACACGTGGCACACATTGTTCAAGGGTTCTTCGTCAATCGCCATATGTAATTGTAATCCTGCCTGTACTTATATGTAACTTTAACCACACATGCCTTCCAGTAGTTTCAAGAAATAGAAGGTACTAGAGTTTTCTCGGTAGCCAGAGTAAAACTATACACCCAGGAGAGCATCAGTTTTCAGTTTAGATTTAGATCTCTATTCGAGCTTCACTTTTTATATGTACTTTGCATTGTGTTCTGTTTAACATTCTTAGTAATTTATAGTAGTAGCTACTGATTGTGCTGCATCATACTGAGAAGAGCTGTATGAGTACTTTTGTGGAAAGTTCTAAAATTGTAAAGTGTTTGTGAATATAAATTTTATCAAGCTATCATCGGTTCTCTGTACATTCAATACATTACGAACCATATACAAAAACAATGTTTTTAGTCAGCTCTGTTTAAAAATTATATTTTAGCTTTAACATACTTACTAGCCGATGCTCTAATACATGCTAATAAATTATATGAATCAGCTTACCGTATTTAATGTGCAGTCTTAGACTATGTTATTGATGTTCAAATTTAATTTTCTGTTCTGTTGATGCACAAATTGTAGCACAAGTTATGCCTTTATGTTCAAATTGAAAGAAAAATTAAGTTTTTCAAATTGTAGCGATAACTTGCTATTTATTTGTCTAGTAGGGTCTGCATGATTTTAACTCTAGCTTCCAATTACAATGACAAACCTAGAAATTCTAATTTACTATATGACTTTCAAATATTTAAAGCATTTTTATACTCTCTGGCATAAATAAACAAATTTATTTATATGCCGTTTGTTAATGCATTAATTTTTAGACCATCAAACTGTAGTGCAAATGAACACTCAGTTACATTTGCTATTATTGTATTCACTTGGTCTATTTGGAATCTAAGCTCAAAATAGGAGAAAGATTGAAAGAGGCATTACACATTAAATAGAATAGGCTGGCTCATATATTTTATTGGCACATATTTATAGCATCGGCTAGCAAAAATGCTAAAGCCAGAAGAAACACTGCTGGTTAAAAATACAAACAGCAAGACACGACTGTCAGTAGCTCTCTCGACTTAAGATTCAAAACTCTCAGCTTAGACACACACAAAGTTAATATGGTATATAGCGAATAAAAAAGGAAGGACAATTGTGGATATATCTGCAGAATGTCTCAAGAAAATCATTAAACTGTTAAGGTTTTCTTGAGGTAATAAGCCATTAAGAAAATTTATGGCATTAATAAAATATTTATTTATTTATTTTTATTTACATAAAATTTAGTCTTTTTTGCGTTCTGCTATTTGATTTTTAAAAAATTAAAAATTTGAACTTATTTGGAAATATAAGTAATATTTTAACAAACTTTTAATTAAATTTTTTTTTTAATGTGGGATGATAAACTTGTACAGCAAATGGCACAGCATAAACCCGTGGAAAACTGTTTGTATGCGTATCATTTTAAATTAATTAATAATAATGCAATTTTCTCATTTATATTTATTTTCTGAATGGCTCATTGAAAAACTGTGCTTCATGGTATTTTATCTTTTAATGCAGAATAGAGTTTCCAAAGGTATTGTGATGAATACTTGGTGGCAAAGTATTCTTTCAAAAGAAATGCTACTCAAATAAACAAAATCAAACTCAAGAGCTTGGAGAAATTCTTTAAGAAAGAAAATAAACTATAATTACCTTAAAAGAATTCAAAGATTTCTCCTTCATATTATTCAGGGTTACAGGACTATTAATTATGAAGCAACTTTCATCATTTATGGTCTCTCACCTATTGATTTGATAATCTTAAATGAGCTTGATGTTACAAGTACACTGTCAAAAGTACACCCTTGTAACCCTGAATGAGATGCTTCCTATTTCAAATTTGCCTACCCTTCAGACAGAAAATCTGGAACAGTTGTTGACCATGATAATGATGCTTTTCTAAAATATAGAACTACTTGTTTCACTGATGGCAGTAAGTCAAATGAAAAGACTGGCCTTGTGTTTGTTATCTATGAAGATAGCAAAAAGGACAAAACTGCCCAGCATACAATACCAGATGAATGTTCTGTTTTCCAGGCCGAACTTCTAAGCTTAAACCTTGCCATTAAATGGATACAATCTCTTGTCATAAGAATGAGACATTTAAATGACCTTTTTGCCCAGATTCATTTTTTTTCTACATGATATACTATGAACAGAAAAACTGATGGTGGAAATTCATTCCATATTATGTGCATTTGAACAAACTGCAGACATTCATTTTACTTACATTTGAGGTCACAGTGGTATTCTCAGTAATGTAAGGGCTGACCAATTGGTTAAGCAAGCGACTTATTGTGATATTGATTTAATGATCTCTGTTCCCAAGTCTTATTGGAAACATGTTGCTTGGAATAAAACTGTAATTAACTGGAACGTTAAATACATTGTTTCAGTAAAGGCCCAGTGGATAAAGAAGATTTTTTTAATGGTTTTCCAACGTTTTAAGTACATTCAATGGGATAATAAAGCAACTCAAATTTTAATTGGTCATGGGAATTTCCCAGTGAATACTGTGCTTGTAATGATGCTATATGAGATGTAGAGCATATGTTATTGCACTACAGGTTATATGCGTGTGCCAGAATTACTTTTAAGGTCAGTTTAAGGCATGTCTCAACATGCTGGCCTGATTTACTTATTTAAGGCACACATTTAAAGTTACTGATTCCAGTTCTGACCAAAAGTACCCTAGAGACTGATACACAAGGGTTTCACATGCCTCTTCATTTCTAGAAAACTCTCAATATAACTTTTACATCAATGGGTTTTAAGTGTCTTTAATCTACAAAGAATCTACAAACAAGCGACACTTAAACTACAAAGAAGTTTTAAGTGTCCCTTGTCCATGATTAGAACCTGAACACTTGTTGAACAGTTATTTTTCATTAACTGCGCAAAAAATAAGTCAAATGTTATCGCTTACTTATCACTATATCACGATTATCTCCCACTTATCACTATATAAAAAAAAGCAGCTTATTGATAGAGGACAAAGGTCCACATGAATATAATAACAAAAGAATCCAGCAATGGAAAATTACACCAGATTTATTACACATTACTAGACTTCTGATCAATCACTAGGCAATAAAATATTCGACTTATTTTTTGCACAGCCATTTATTCAACAAGTCCCTCCTTAAAAATGTTTTTATACCCAAATTAATAAATGCCAATTTCATGTTGAATTGGTTTCCCCATTAAGATTTTTTTAAAAAAATTAAATAAGATTATTATCTAAATGTTTTGCAGCTTAAGAAAATTAGCCACTGTCTCAAATTTGCTCAAAAAGAAATATCGATTTCTAAGGTATAGACTATTTTATTTGAAGGTATGAGAAACAAAGCAGAAAAGGTTATACGAAACTAAAAATGAAACACTGCTATATGAAACTAAAACAAATTTAATTAAAATGAATATACAGCTAAAGTTAAATTAATATTTCATAAATTATAAATTAAAAATAATTATTCTGCTAGTTTAATAATACAGTAATAAAGAGAAATAAAAGGAAAATACCTTGATTATTTCTTCCAAACTCTTGATAGGTGTTGACTGAAAAGCAATTTTTGATGCAGTAAACATCTCAGACAAACTTTCAATAGAAGTACTGAAACAAGATAATATTGTTTTAGTCAATAATGTTAACTATACATGACTTTTTAACAACAACACTAAGCAAAAACATGTTTTTAAAAACTATACGGGGTGAATAAAAGTTTGTTACAGTACTTCCTTCATGTCCGTGCATACCTATTAGATGAGGCACCTTTTAAATCAGAAACTTTCTTATCACTCATCTGTGTAGTAATTTCCTTAATAAAAAAATTAACAAATTAAAAAATATAGCAGTTTTAGACAAAAATTATGTCATTTTTTAAAAATTTACTTAAACACAAACTATTAATTAAAAGTAAAATAACAAGAGTGAATAAATGAAAAATAAAAGGTAGCCTAGGGGAAATTCAAAAGTTCTTTAATATTAATTTAGTGAAAATAAAAATATAAAAACAATTTTAATGATGTAATTATAAAAATATAAAATTTTTTAAATATTAATTTGGTACATCAAAAAATATAAAAGAAAAAGAAGTTAAAGATAATAATTTAAATATAATAACTCCACCAATCTATAATATTTTTGGAAATAATCACGCAACATATGACAAAAATTAAAAAATATTTAAATAGTAAGAATTTAAAATTTTAGAGCCAAAAAAAGGTATAAAAATCTAAACCTTTTCTGTACAGAACCTTTTAAATGAAACTTGATTATATTCTCCATTACACATAAACACATTATGTGTAAAACCTAAAACTTTTTAAATGAAACTGGATTATACCTCTGTTACATATAAGCACAATACACATAGCCACTGAATCTCAAGAAAAACCATTACTATTTCATGTGTCTATCAACTCAGCAAATGTACTGAAATTTAATCAATTAAACCAAAATTACACACTACCAATAACCAAAAATATAAGTTTAAAATTTTAAAAAAAACTTACTTGTTTACTACTCTTTCCTTTATCATAAGACTTTGCAATCACTCCTTCTGCTTTTACACTTTGAATTAAATTTGTTTGCACCTGAGGAACATTACTATCTTTCAGACTTTCAAAAGAAGAAAAATCTGTTAGACACAATGTTGGGACAAAGAATCCTGAGCCACTACACTGTGCTGATTCACTTGAGAAATGTTTATACTCCATCGGTGATCTACTGCTTTTGTATTTATCAAAATGATTTCCTGTATGTATGGTTCTGTTGGAATTCTCATGTTCCTGAACCATGTCATGAGCATGCATATGCTTTGATGAAATATGAGTAGATTTCATATCAAGGTGACATTTTATTTTTGACGGTGAAATAATCTTTGCATGTTCGGAAGAACCTTTTTGATTATTTAGGCAAATATCAAATGTGAGAGTAACAGGTCTTAAACTGCTTGTATTGTTATATACCAAATCTTTGTTCACATTATACAAATTGGAAGGAACAATTAATGGAGAACTGGATGGCATAAGATTGTTAGTTTCTGAAAAATTAACTGTTTCAGTATTAGGTTTCTGAAATTTAGTATTCTGATTACAGTTATCTACTGGACTCTTAAGCACTGACATTTCAAAGGCACTAGCAGAATTAGGAGTGGAAATGTTAGACTGTGGTGTCATTGGCATGAAACCAGAGGTAGAATATTTACCAACTATTGAACCATATGGAATTTTATTTTCCTTTAAATCTAGTATACATGTAGAAGGAAGTTTCAAATCTTGATTACATGTAGCCTCTGGGCTTGATACATTTGAATGAGGTGTCAAAATTTTGAACTTCTCATCTGTTGCATTAAATAACTCGGAATGTTCAGTAAACATTGGTTGACCACACTGATCATCAATTTTGTTCTCATGACTGAAATATTCATTTGGCTGCCAATATCCTTTAAAAGATGAAGTATCTGAAAGATGTGGATAATTTTCAAATCCATAATAATTTTCTTTCCTTTCTTGATTAAACTCTGAAACAGACTTGTCATCTTCACTAGTTAGAAGCCCTGCATGACTTCCATTAGGGCTGGACACACATTTTGAGCTGCTTAATACATTAGTTTCTGTAGAGATTGGTGAGGATGGTGCAGTTCCTGAAAATCTAGGTTTGCTTTTAATTTCACATATTACATTATTTTCTGAAGAAACTGGAGTTATATTAACAGCTAGCACTTTTTCAGGTAATTCAAGAACTGATTGAACATCTTTGGGTGCATCAGAAACAAAGCGAATACCTTTAGCAAGCTTTAACTGTTCAGAACAAGGTGGACTGAGCAAACTAACACATGCAGTATTTATCATTTCTGCTGATTCTCTCCTAATTTTATCATTTTCTTTGCTCTGGATGCTAAGATGATCATTTTCTGAAGGCATACTTTCATTGCTGTCTAGAGAAACTTTTGGTGCTTCGTTAGTTAATGCCGAATCCATTTCCTGGATTGTACTCAATTCATGATAAACATGAGGCTTTGGGGAGGTTTTACCTATACTTTCAAGCATCTGTTCAGGAAAAGAATTTATAAATGAATTTTCTACATTACTCTCAAACTGAGAATATTTTTCAGGGTCTAAACTTTTATCACTTTCTACATATAACCTAGGTAATGCTTTTAAACTTTCTGCTTCACATACATTAACAAATTCATGTAAAGAGCTAGCAACATCAATACTTCTCTCATGAAATGGGTCACATTCTATTCCTTCTTGATTACTTTTACTAGCTAGCTGCTCTGAAAATTTATTATTTTCATCTCCCTGAATAGATTCTTCTAGATAATTTTTTTTATTTAATTCTAAGGTCTTAAGTTTACTGCTCATATTTGTTTCTGTAAAAGAAGCAACTCTTTCTTTTCGAAATGCCATAATATTAGATTCAGGTTCAGACTTCTGATATAAATGTGTTTTATAGTCACTAGAAGATGATACTTGATTTTCATAATTTGTAGACACTGAAGGTGCAGGTAATTTTCCTAAATATTTTTCAGCTAATTTCTTAACATATAAAGTTATTTCGGGCTTTTTTTCTGGACAAGACATCTGGTTTGATTTTAGTAAGCTTTCTTTTGAAGACAGAGAATTTTTGTCTATCATTTCTCTCAAACATTTTGAAGAGGAATCAGTTTCAGCAGTTTTCTCTGGAGTGTGATTTGTATCATCATTTTGGAGTTTATGGTCCAATATATTTTCCGGTCCCAGTTTTGAAGGTAAAGACAAATAGCTTGATGATGATGACCAAGAATCAGGTGTAATATTATTTTCCCGATGTTCTCTTTCATTCACTTCAATTTTCTTGTTAAATATGAATCCATGGGGTCTGATAAAGAGAAATTTATTATAACTTTTAATATATACATAATGTAAAATAAATTTTAAAGTAATGCATTTAAAACTCATCACATATTCAATTTGAAATAAGCATAGGCAACAAAATACATGCAAAAACAATTCTCAAAGAAGAGTGAAACTTATTTCGATTTTCAGCCTACTGTCATGTCACGAATTTAATTATTAATATGTGTTTTAAGTTTCATTATTCTAGTTTTTTTTTTTATTATTTGTATTCATGTATATTTTAATCTGATAAAAAGAGTATTCTTAAATTGTTAAAGCCTTATTTAACCGGTAGTTCTTGAAAGTGTAGTGTAACAAAGACAGGAAACGGTTACAAGAGCCACCTGGTTTATTGATTTAAGGTTTTTTTTACTAATAATGGAGGCAGTAGGGTGCTGTGTTGTCGCCTTTTACTAATGGCATTTGAAACGAAAATCGTCTTGCTTTCGCTTTGTTGTAGTTGCAATTTTGTAACTTCAAGACAGTGGGGGGGGGGGATTTGTAAGCTTAGGTAATTGGATTCTCGAAAAGCTTAGTTCCGTTTGTTATTTGGGGTGTCCACTCTAGTTCCCACGTTTTCCTGAGTACAGATGTTGGCTCATTGTGAGATTTTTCTTGTTTTTGATTCATCATGGGGATGTCATTTTCTCAGCCTAGATAAAGTAAAATTCTGGCATTGGTGTGATTTTAATTTGATGATTTTTTGTAGGCCTATGAACTTACAGAGGCGGAGAAACCGAGATTTCCTGGGAGGTTAGCACCAGGCTAGAATACATTTGGATTCTGATTTTTGGAGAAGAAGGAGGAAAAAAAAATTGGGCGCTTGACCCTTGCGGGTCTTGCTCTCGCGAGCGGCATGTACCAGCGGGATCCGGTTATGGTTTTTTTCTTTGGAGTCTGATAATATAGAATGATTTTCAGCAGCAGCGATGTTAAGTTCGAGCGGCATCTGCCCTGCGGCCGGCTTGCCGGGCTGTGGGCTGCCTGAGCAAGAGGGTTTGAGCTGCACTTTCTTTTCTCCAGAAGAGGCATTTTTTCCCTGAGAGATGATTAAAAATTTTGTGCGAGATGCAAAGAGCAATTTACTACAGATTTTCCCTCTTCAGCCAAATCTCCAGATAATCGGAAACCAAAAATTTGACATTCCCGAAGTGAATATGTCTGATACTTGGAAGTTTCAAACAGAAGCATGTGTCATAAGTATTACGCACCTGAGGTTCCAGACACATAAACATTCCCAGGTAGAAGTATTTGTTATTACTATCCGGCACCTGACACATATCTGGCTGTTAGCTTTACAAAAAAGACTTATGAACTTTTCCCTGATCTGGCAGTTAGTTTTACAAAAAAGGACTTCATCCGTTTCCAGATATTCTTGTACAGAATGGACTTCAGCACGAGAGTGTTAGGTAAACTGTAATCAAAGTGTTGGCTCAAGGAAATAGACTTCCTCCTAAACTAGAAAAACTGGACACTCCCATCAAGGTTGTGTATTCTGAAGAATATGTGAGTGAAATTTTTAAGATTATTTTCTCTCTCTCTTAGTATTCCCAAATGCCATAGTGGAACAGTTAATAATGATTTATTTACCTGTTTATATTGTTATTACATCAATTATATATTACAGTTAGTAAAATTAAGAAGTGATTTATTATTTCAAGTGATGGCCAGTTTTGGGATGTTTTAAATTTGCTTCACCTACTGAGTGGGTGAGTCAGAAAAATGTTAATTCCTAATTAATGAAAACCATTTATTTAAAGAATTAAAAATATGGTACACCTTCCTAATTTGTGAAAAAAAAATGTTTTAATTATTGTAAGCTGTAATTTTGTGTGACAGATGTGATATTTTCATAGTAAAAATATGTGGTAGGGGATACTGATAAGTTATCCAAGTATTTACTAATAATATAATACATCCAAGAATTTAATAAATGTGTGTTTAAAATTTAATTGCATTTGTGTATTTATCTTGTGTGTAATTTACAGTGGTCTGTCATGTCCATCCATTTGTTTGAGCCTGGAGGCTTTTAAGAAACATGGAGCTTTAATTGAATTTGGGGTTATTGATTTTTCCCTAATGGGCTTCACAATGCACCCTATTGTACTAACCCAATACCACCGATTGATTGTTCGATATGATATATGAATGATGAATAGGATTATAGATTTTTTAGTTAGTTTTGTCTGGCACCATGAGTCAGTAAAGTTCAAAGTTAATAAAGATTAAAACCCCTAAATTCTCAGATATTCAACAATGCCTAATTTTCAGAGATTCAACACTATTGGGCCCCATAGGGGCCCCTTTTTAACTTTTCGATAATTTAAGTAGTAATATATAATTTTGCTAAGGAAGAATATCTGTTCAGTACAGGTAAAGTAATAGCACACCTCGAAGACATTCCTTCATCCCAGATTGTCAGACACATGGGCCTTATACAGCCAGTGGATTTTTTCCTGTTTTTCATCTAAAATTGGCCTTAGAAATATTTCCCTATATTTCACCAACTGTGAAGATTTATTTTGAAAACTGCCTACTTGTATCCTTACCAGGGATAAAATGTCTCGTGTTCCTTAGTTTCTCATATGAAATTAACAAAGATGGTCCCCTAATGTATAAAAGCATGCTTTTGATTTCTCAAAACAGACCTAAAAGAGCATACCTATTTCCCATGTTTGTAAGAGAGTTTCCTTTTTGCATGATCTTATTACAATCTCACTATGGAAATAGCTTGACCAAATTAGCTACCAATCACATTTTATTTTTTGTTTGTTTGTTTGTTTTGCTGCATTCTAAGGTTTGGGAAAACATGAAGTTACGGGTGTCTTTCAGGGTTAGCATGCCACATTTAATCCCTACAATTGCATACTGTTTTGACGCTAGACAATAATTTTGAAATCGATGGGTTTTTCTCAGAGGGAATGTGTGAAGTAGTGAAATTTAAAAACTAAAATACTTTTATTCATTCCTAGCACAAGGGCATTAAATTCCCTATCTGCCCATGAACATAATATTTAATTCTAAACTTGTAAATTAATCATAAACAACTGCATCATATTACATCATAAACAAATGCAACATAAATAAATTGTCACTCCAGAGTAGAAAAGGAAAAGCCTGGTGCTGCCATCTGTTGGCAAGGTAGCCTCAGTATGGGGCACAGGTATATTTCACATACATGTCTTAAGATCACATAAATAAGCTTCTAACTATCAGTTTTGATTGAAATGCAGTAAATATATAAGGTTCAGCATGTGTATGTCATATATTTGAAGATTTTGAATTTTTTCCTCCCCTCCAACAGAATTTATGAACCTTCAAACGTGATACCTTTGAATGAGGTATATTAATTTCATAACTGCAAAATATTGAGCATTCACAGGGTAGCACAGCCAATTACAATCAAAAGAAACACTAGAAACTCAAGATTACAGTTTTTAGAGTAAACAAATTAACATATTTTTAGGAGGTTAAAAAATTAAACTTCCAGTATATATCATATACCAGTGCCCTTCAAAGGGTTAAGGATAAAAAATCTTTTTTAAAAAATCTAAGGACTTTTAAGTATTTTTAAGGACCATACGAACCCTGATAAAATGTAATATTCATAATAAAAAAATTGCTATTTTAAAACAAATCGACTATTTATAAGATAATATTTAGTACCTTTGCATAATGAAAAATTTGAAAACTCAGTTTTTTGCATGTATTTTAAATATATCTCATGAAGAAATTTGCTCTACAACCATTGTATGGTAAAACATATTTCAAAACTTTTGCTATTCAAAGAACTTGATGGCTTATTAACATTAACATTTCAGGAAATTCCCTGTATTAAAACTTTTGAATAATATATAAAATGCTTTTGAATACAATTTTATACAAATATATTGTTAGGCATGAAATGGAAGTTAACTTACATAAAGTTGACTTAGTGTATCTATCTATATATTTATTCATTTTAAGAGGAGAGTACACTAATGAGATTCCAAAGTAATTTCCTTTTCACTTAAGGTTTCATACAAATGTGAATTTCCAGCTTGCATGAATGATTTCTATGAGTTGGCTGATTAAAATTTAAAGAAATTTTGATAAACCATGTAAACATTCTATCTGCATTTTAGAAAATGATAATATTACAGAAAATCTCAAATATTTAGCCCATAATTATGAAATGTGATAATTTTATTATATTTGATACACACATAATTTTCTATACATGTGTAGTTTCTTTATAGTGCATATTTATATAAATAGTTATATAAATCCACTGCAGATGGATTGACCTGTAGGCGAAAGGGCGACGGTCGAAAGTCCTAGACCCATTATTGTATGATGGTATGATTTAAGACTAACATCCCCCCTCAGAAGTCAATCTAAAATCATAAATCATCAATAATTTCGTTAATTTAGTTAGTTATAATTACTAACATACAATTTTTTTATCACCTTAGCTAATTTTCTTCACATTTAATTTTTTCTCACTCACAGCTTACATTTTATATTCCAAAAAACTTGTCCGTATTGTATTAAGTTATTTGATTAATTACAATAAAAAATCTCAGCTGCAGTAGTGCTATATTATAACTCTGACAGTCTAATTTAACTAAATTTTGGAATTTATTATTTTGAATTATATATTAATTAATAATTTTTAGAACAACATACATGTTCAATAAATATTAATGCTGGGACACCACACTGACCCAGATAAACAAAATAAAGCCTAATGATAAATTTATAAAACATTATTTTGTGTCTAATAATCACATAATACTTCGGCAATGACTAATTACCTGTCTATGTACAAATAATATACACTCTTAGACAAAAAAAAAAAAAAAAAAAAGACACACCAAGAAGGAGTTATCCAAATGGGTCAAAAATCAGTAGAAGTGATGTACATGTACAGAAAAACAAATGATTACAGTTTGAGAAAAATTGGATCATTTATTGAAGTGATAGAGTTTCACAAAGTGAAAA